ATATGTGTATGTGTGTGTGTATAATCATCATTTTCGTGGTAATTACTACTTCGATCGACGTGGTGACACTACTCTCCTCTTACCCCGACGTAACGCTTACCAATTAGGTGGGGACGATGAACGTTCCTCACTCAACGAGGAAAATGGTTTAAGCGCCTGTCCTAAACGTCTAGTTAATATAGCCATCTCTCGATTTTAGGTATCTCCGGTGGTAGTAATACTCCCCCTTCTAAGCTCTAGATTATTATTAAACACTTTAAGATAACATGGCATCGAGAAGTCGATCGATCACTTTGAAATATCATACAAGTCTCTTCTTTTAAGTCACATGTCACCACTTTTCTCATTTTGTTTGTTTGTTTTTTTTCCTTTTTTTTTATATACACACGACTTTACTACTCCTCAATGCATCGAATCCTTCAATTTCATATACATTTTTTTCATTTTAAACTACTTTGTAATTTTTGTTTCTAATCAAAATGACAGTACGTCATATGTGTTTATATTAATTTTTATTTAATTAATTGGTATATATTTATATTATTTAGATAGATAAGTAATATATTTATATATAATTAAAATCAAGTAGGTAGATATAGTTTTACGTTTATTTGAAATATTTTTATTATATTTTTGCATCCTCCCCCAACAGGATCTACACCACAAGTGACATTTCCACCCGGTGCTGGCCACGATCGTTACGAGGAAACCTTCAATGGACCCGCAACTTACGCGGAACCATATGTGGAACGTTATGGGCTTAAAAGTGAATTCAGTGGTCGAGAACCATTACATCCTACACCACCTCGGCCTGGTTACGTACCTACTTTAGGACAAACCCCACCATCCAGCACGCAAGGATCTGTAATGATGGTCTACGGTTTACAACCGGACAAAGTCAACACAGATAAATTGTTCAACTTATTCTGTCTTTATGGAAATGTTACAAAGGTACGGACAAAAAGATGGGTTTTCAAAATCAACATCATTTTATTCTCTCGTCAAAGGGAAAAGAAACTACTTTTGTCTAATTATTCCTTGGAAATAAAATGTTAGAATTATACGTGTATTTGCATTTCAAGGACGCTTCTATGTGTATTCGCTTCAGTAATATTTTTCAAACTGTGTTTGTTTTTAATTTTTTTTTTAAAGTTACATCAAACTACGTTTATTTGAAGGACGATATTGTGTTCTCAAATTATTTTTCTTTCTCTTTTTATTAATGTTTGCTAACATATCACAAAAAATGGCGGAATCTTTGACGAACCTTTTTGGAATTCAGTCTGAGGCGCGCCGACTATTAGGATAAGATGTGCAGTTCAATAATCGGACTTGACGCATGCGTGATACACGTTATCCTATCTCTCTCGTATTCACGGAAATATCTTACGTTTCCGTTATGTTTTAATAATGTTTTATAATATTATATCGGATCGATGATCTAATTCGAGATTTATACGTATACGTTTATATATAAATAACATTTGCAAATTTAAATGTCACGAAGAAAATTTAAAATCAATATTGATAAAATTTCAAGCTTCATCAATTCCATTCTACTTCTATCTTGAAATTTATAACGGTTTCTTCTACCTTATGATATGTCATTTTAAAAGTAATAAATATTCACTTTTAACTACATTGACAAAATTCAATTCGATTTATTCGTTTGTAATATATCGATGAAAATTATAATATAATATTCAAAATAATGTATTTTTAATTTTATTTAATTTCAAAGTAATCCACTTCGATAATTGCATTTATATCTTTTTTTTTTTTAATACATTTTTTCAATGTATATATTTATAACGAATAAAGTATGATTTAATCTAAAGATAATAAAAACACGTTATGTAATTGTACGTTTAGGTAAAGTTTTTAAAAACAAAAGAGGGATGTGCCATGATACAAATGGGCGACAGTATAGCTGTTGAAAGATGCCTTCAAAACTTGAACAATGTGACGATTGGTACAGACGGTAGACTGCAACTTGGATTTTCTAAACAAGCCTTTCTTTCGGACGTAACTAATCCATACATTTTGCCAGACAAAACGGCTAGTTTTAAAGATTTTACAGGAAGCAAAAACAACAGGTAATTATCAACAATATGACATTATTTTTATATTTTTGTTATTTAATTTTAAAGTTCTAATCATTTTTCTTTTCTCATATAAACGTATGTTTTTGTTATTTCATTGAAGGTTTTTAAATCCAGCAATGGCCAATAAGAACAGAATACAGCCACCATCAAAGATAGTGCACTTTTTCAACACGCCACCAGATTTAACGGAGGAAACGGTTAATCGCGTTTTTGTTGAGCGTGGTATCGAGGCACCAACGACAGTGAAATTGTTTCCACTTAAGTCAGAACGATCCTCTTCAGGCCTAATCGAGTTCAGTAGCGTCGGTATAGCAGTAGCTGCAATTATGGAATGTAACCATACAGCATTAGAAAATAGCAGTGAGTATATAATAACATATATATCACATACGTTTTAATGTGCTTCGATATTTCTTAACACTATGACATCCGGTGACATTACATCGATGTCTTTCGTGAAGAAATTATTGGAAAAATGCCGGTATCAGACGAAAGAATCTTGATTATATGTCAAGATTCATATGTCAAAGTGCTATGTTATCAACTAAATGGAACGATTTATTCGTTGCACAAACTCGAACCGAAATTCTAGTTTACTTTATATCTAATCAGTATTGGAAATAAAATCATTTGATTTAACCCTTTGAACTCAGCCTTCTGTCCAACGTTGCTAAGCGTTATCTTGTATCTATTTTTCAAATTAGTTTAATAACCCTGTACAAATTTAATAGAAAATTTGTCTTGCCACTATTCAGTGTGAAATAAGAGATCAAAGGGTTAATATTACATAAAATGACCATAATCCTGAGCCAAATATTCATGTACATCTTTAAATAAATTTCCTTACAGACGGCAAATTTCCTTACATCATGAAGCTGTGCTTTTCTTCCTCTCGCACTATACCTACCAGTTTCCCACCAAGCAGTGGCAGCGTTTCGAGCAATTCTGCCGGAAATGGCCACGTCAAAATGCAGCAGGACTCGGAATAGAACGGCGAGGTCCAGGGCCAGCAGCGTCAGCGCCAGCGCCAGCGCCCCTCTCTCGCCCTGCACCCGTTGTGTGCCCCCGTTGCGACGAGCACGGCCCTGCACCCAGCCACAGCGATCACCCTATCCCCGGTTTTGCCACCACCGCCGGTTCCTCCTCCTTTGCCACCTGCTTGTCTTCTAATAGCAACACCAACCTTATATCCAACTGTTCCACCTCCCCCACCACCTCCTCTGCCGACCTTCTGGCCCTACTGATGAGAATCACTAAAGGACATCTCAGCTAGTCTGCGGAAATCTAATCCGTGATGTTCTCGTTCTTGGAATCATCATCATAGTCATCTTCACCAGCTCGTAAAACGCTGCTATCCCGTGGGTAGTAGAAGCTTATTAAGTTCGATCGGGGACGAGATCAAAGCGGAACATCGGACAGCAGGAGAAATAGGAGGATAAGCAGGAGGATCAGGGGATGAGGAGAGAAGGAGGAGAGACAGTGTGAAAAGATCGGCGCGGTCTACGGACGAACAAGGGGTAGCTGGTTGCATCATGAAAACAAATAAAAGGATAACGAGCAGACGCGTGTGTGTGTGTGTGTACGTGCGTACTTGTTGATACACAATCGGCGTACCGTAAAAGCCTCCTGTGTGTTGATGTCTCCTCGAAACGCCACGTTTGTTGTATTCTATCGATGATATATATACATATATACATATATGTATAAACATATATATATATATATATCTTCTACTGATGAAAACGTGGTCAGCTACAGAAAAATATAAAAAAAATAAAAAAGAAATAAAGAAGGAAAGCGACGAAACGAAAATAATCGGGAGGCCTGCACGCGGACCAAAGCAAATTCAATCCAATTAATTTTATCTTTTTTTTTTTGTCTTTATAATTTTAATCTCAGTTTGAAATTTTCCTACAATTCCTTATCATTTTTCTTATCATCGCTCGCGAATTACATATCAATGAGAAAGTTAGGAGATGTAATATAGGATCGCGAGAAAAATAATACGAAGAAAGACGACGACGCTTGGTGTTGTTTAGGTTGTGCGATCCCTCACGATGGAACGCTTTATTTACGCGTTTTACATCGAAGAGTTAATAAACGCCCTCGCAACATCATCAACAACAACGACGACCAGAACAACAACATCTACTACAATAACAAGATATCTCGCACGCGTGCTGTTTTAATTCATGACTCCTCCACCATCACAACTACCACCACAACCACCGTCATCACTACCACCACCATCACCACCACCACCACAACCAATCAATCAACTCCTATCCATCGCCCACCGAAAGTTCACTGATTTTGCTGCTGAATAATCGTTCCTCAATGACCGTTACAAAATATTTATGGGATCCAATAAGTCCGAGATTAATTTCTCCCCCCATTGACCACTGTGTAACGATGGGATACAATTATTAAATTGAACGTTTTAAAAAAGAAAGAAGTAAAGAATAAGAAATGTATGAGAATATAACAGATAGCAAAAAAAAGAAAGTGAGAAAGAAAGAAAAAATGAGAAAAAGAAAAATTGCATATGAATGATTGAACATTAGCAAGTGATTGATTGATTGAATGAGTGGATATGTGAATGATTAAATGAATGAGTGAAAGATAGAAAAAAAAGATATAACGAAACAGGAAGCCAAAGCAACTCATGTAACGCATGGTGTCGGTAAAATTTCGTTGCTAACGTCGTGCCAATACATAAAAGTCACGAGAATCTTCGTATCGAACATTACGTATATATTTCTTTTATTTTTTTTTAATGTATATTTATACATATATAGAATGTAAGAAATATATCTAAAATTAAATAATAATGTGAAGTCACGCGTGTAGTCTAATAATTGTATCTTTATTCGTTCATGTTTTATAGAAGACTGGCCTTATTCTCTTTCGGACGCTTACATATTTTTTTTCTATCCTAACACATATTTCGAGAATGTTTGAATTTTATCCATGTCTGGTTTATTAAACTCGTTCGATAAAGGAATAACTGTTCCTAACCATTTGCTTGGCTCATACCTAAACGAGTCTGATGTCGTCATGGATTAGGAACGTTTCCTCTTATCGCTAATACATGTACACACGTACACACACACACACATACACATACACATACACATACACATACAAATACCATGTATGCATACCATAGCCTATAAATTCTTACGATAAAGAGAATAATTAGCGATCAGTTTTCGAGACAGACACATGTTCATTATGCATAAGAATATTTTATTTTGATATGACTAAAAATGAATTATTTGAATATTCTATAATTTTTTGTTAAATTAATTGTTTCAATATTCTTTTTTGGTGCTGTAAAAATGTAATATCAGTGATGTTATATATATAGCAATAAGTCGTTTTTGCTATTTTTTTTTTTTATTATTGAAATTTTATTTGTAATATTTCAATTCTTTTTTTTTTTGACGTAGTATATTACTATACTATAAGATAATTATAGATTAGGCCGCAAAAATATTTACGCTTTCCATACATTTTATTAAGTTAACGACCTAACTAATAGGTACTTTTGATGATTCGACGAAAAATTTACATTAGCTGTGTAAAATTGTCATAGCAAACTGATTCGAATTCATAAAAGTAAATAAAGTAAATAAAGACATTTCTTTTATTTTTACTTTTTTTTATTTAATTTTGTTTCTTTATTTGTAGTGATTCGGATATAAGGATTCTCGTGAGTTATTTTCCTTCCTATAAATAAATAACGATGACAAACATGTATACAAATGTATTGAATCGCACTTATATAACGCTTCATATTTCAATATATATTTATAAATATACATGAAAAAGAACAATTCTTATAAACATTAATTTTGGGAATTAGTTACATGTAACTATTGTATATACTGTTTTGTCGATCGGAATAAACCGCGGACTGTGAATTGAATTTTATATGAGGATGAAATAAAATTTAAAAAAAAAATAAAAAAAAATAAAAAAAAAATAAAAAAAATAAACAAATACAATAATTACAGAAAAAAAAAATTAAAACTGAGTAACAATGAAGTCACAATATAATGACAACAACACAACAATATATTAGTGTCCCTCGGCAATATTTTGTCGGGTCGGGGGATGTTTTTATAAGAAAAGGTTTTAGATCTCAGATGAATAAAATAAAATAAACAAACAAATAAATACATAACATTTTGAGAGCGAACCAAATGACTAATAAATAAATAAATAATTAACTAAAATAATATAGAGAGAGATTCGATACTCGGCCATACGTAAAATAAGATAATAAAGACCCCCCTTTTATCTTTTTTTTTTTTAGATATGCGCGAGAATAACCGGCCATTTTGTCCATTCGAATGTGCATAAAAATTGAAAGAAAGAAAGAAAGAAGACAGATTGAGTGAGTGATTGGGTGAGAGGGTGAGTGAATGAGTGAGAGAAATAAATAGAGGTGCGAATGAATTTTAAATGAATGAAAAAGAGAGAAAGATAGAGAATGAAAGAAAGAGGGAGATAGTGGATAAAAATATGCAAAGAAAGATATAAATAGATGCATAGAAAAGGAACCTAACAAACAAGTACACAGAAAATAAGTGAAAACACGAGATGTATCTCATGATTAAAAAAAAAATTTATATCGAGGCAATATTTGTTACAATACGATTAGAAAATAAGTTGTACAACATTTAAGAGGCTTGGAAAATATAAGACACGGAAGAAGTGGTCATACATAGTTAATTACTGGAAGTATATAACGTACTGTAATAGTTTATTATTATTATTATACGTATAAAGAGTAATGCGATAGTGTACACATACGTTCGCTCTCGTAATACGGGGGAGATTGAAACTGAATTATCTTGCGCGTGTGTATGCGTGTAAAGTGTGTTGTGTGTGCGCGTAAGTGTGTTTACACGAACGATTTACGTCGTTCGAAGCTCGAATTCGAAATAATAAATTTATATATGTATATATTTGATCGTTTAAAACATTGTTTGCAGTTCAGGGAGGCGTTTTCAATGGAAGAAAGAGTGAGCTGTTGTTACCTGTTCACTCTGACCAATGAAACCCAACTGCGAACAATTTTTTAAACGACGATACGTAAATTATGTCGAAATATTTTAAAACGCAGGACTGATGGTATATAGTATAAAAAGACGATATTTTCGTGATTTCAAAAGAAAATACGAGAAAATAAAACGCATGGTAGCGATTATGTTCGAATAATTTAAGAAATCGATCGAGCCAACCTGCCAGCGACGTACAATGTTCGTGTACACACACACACAGAAAAAAATTCATAAACAACAATTATATTCTATCGATTTAGTGAAAGGATGGTACTAAAAAATAAAAAATATAATAAAATACAATAAAATAAAATATAAATAAAAATGAAATAAAAAGAAGAGAGCACCAAGAACCGTTCCGCGATATCTGCTTTGTACGTTCGTTATTTAAATAAAAAAATTTTCCTGTTCGTCGATTGTATTTGAAACAAAAAAAAGAATAAAAGATCATACGATAGGTAGGTGGAAACAGGAAAAAGAAAAAAGGAGAAAAATAATTTCTAGCTAAATAGAAACACACAGCTGTTTGTCTCGAAAGAACTGTTTGCGAAAACAACAAAGAAAAGAAACTAAGTATCGCCGCTTTTACATCACATTCTCATATTTTTACTATTATTAATGTTTATAAACCAGCAAGGTGTGACGTCTGTAATTGTTGGTAGTGGGGATTATTAGGTTCGTTTTTGCTCGTTCGCACGTTTTAATGGCGAGTATAATAATATAATATTAAATAAAAATAAAATAAATAACGACGACAAAAAGTGAATGACACACACTGACAAAATAACCAAAAGACAAGGATTATATTATTAATTAATAATAGCCAAGAACTTTACTACGGATACGATTGGTCTCAAGTGTATTGCTAATCGTATAAAAAGAAATAATGATAAAATAAATGAATTGAAATTCCGAAATCGACGCGTTCGCATATTTTAATCTAACAGAAAAGAAATTCCGTTTTTAGAGAAAACAAATAAGATAGTGAATGTGTCCTTATGTGTGTGTGTATGAGAGAGAGAGAGAAAGAGAAAAAGAAAGAAAGAAAGAATGATCACATGTGTGTATGTTGAGAGAAAGAAAGAAAGAATGTGAGTATAAATGTTAGAACGAGCAGGACCTAAGAGAAGTAAAATCATGGTAGGGAATAGACTTTTAACTGATTAGGATGTGTAACCATATCATAATGTTCTTTTTTTTTTGTAGATGTTATATATACATATAAATATATTTAACAAAATTAAATGCCATTAAAATCGGAGATGCGCTCTACGTCGTCCCACTTCGAATTATATAATTATAGTAATAAAAATAATAATTATAAAAAAATTAAATAAAATAAAAAGCATCAGAAATAATTAGTAAAGTTAGATGAACGCTACTGTAGATGACATTTGATTGCAATTTTTATTCCTGGAACGAAGAAAGCGGACGATGACGCGCGACGCGATCAATTTTGGAAAATCTGCGGATGGTTAATTCTTCGAAAACACATATTCATGGAGTCACCTAAACGGAGTCGACCTAAAATAATCTAATAATTAATATAAATAGTAAAATAAAATAAATTGAAAGAAAATGTAATAAGATAATAACAGATTAGAGAGCATAAAAAATTCTCGTTTAGTGATCGGTAGTCTTTTTACGCCGTGTTTAGTCTATGTGTGCTTTATATTTTTCATTGATTCGAATAAATACAGTGAATGTTATTTAAAATCATACACAAATAAATATAAATGTATTTATTTCTAAATTGTTTTCATTTTAAACAACACATTATACCAATAGTATGCAAGTAAGAATTTATTTAGCATTAACAGTGTACGATTTTAAAAGACATTCACTTCATATATATATGTAGAAAAAAAACAACAAGTAACATATCCTATCTGCGGCGTAGCCCATCTTTCAAAAACCAACCCCACTGTCCATACCTTCGAATCCTTTTGCTATATAAATAAATAAATAAATATATCAAATAATAATTATTATTACAAACGTACGTTAATACCCGTGTACATTTAATAATAATAATAATAATAATAAAAATAAAATTAATAATGATGTAATAATATAATAATAATAATAAGAAGAAGAATAATTATAATAATATGGTGGTGGCTCTCGAATTTTCGAGGAATTAACTTGCGGATATTTTACATTTCTTAATTTATCGCTTCGATGTGGTAAAGATATTATTATTATTATCGAGCATGCATCATTACAAAACCGTCGCTTATTTTCTTAAACTTTACTGCGCATTTTAAAGCCTGGTATAAAAGTATATATGTATATATATTAATTAATTAATTAATAATTTAAATGATAAGAAAAGAAAGAAGAAACGCATAGAATAAAAAACACAAACA